ATATTCTCTACTTTCAAATGTATGTATTGAGAAGACATTAACCTTGTCATTGAATTATAGTAATGTTGAGGTGCATTTGTGCAACTCTCGGATCAAAATTCAAAAAGTCAATTGTCACATTTTACAACAAAGTCAATTTTTTGACTCAATGTTTGAAGATCAAATAAGTTGAGCATCAATTTTTTTATATCATATTATAATTCGTATAAAAATTGGCTAACAAGTATAACATCATCCCACTTGTTATCATATGCAAGTTGTTTAAATTGTGAAGCATATGATATTATCAATCAATTCATTGTCCTAAAGTATGGATCTTATTGGTTACAATATAAATTACATCATGTTTACCATATGTGGATTGAAACTTTGCCAAAAAAGCCTCCAAATTATCCAATATTAGATCTTATCATTCAAGAAAAGATGAAAATTATAATAATATTGAACCTCAAAGAAATGTACCAATAAATCTAACTTGCAATCTTAGAGTTGGATAGCTTTGGAGTTGAAGTTCAATCACAAGTTGTACTTAATTGATAAATCCTCAAAATTTAGATCTTGAGCCATCAAGCTTCTTAAATAATGCAACCTTTGATTTTGTAACACTAGAACACTGTTCCACTATAAGGAAAAGGATATGATTTAGTACAAATGTTGAAGCAACTCCAATCATCTCTATATTTTCACTCCCTCCCATTCTTGTTGCTCTTGTGGCAATAAATTGAATTGATACATTACAAGTATTAACTCTCTCAATTGTTCTTATATTTGTGCCATTGCAATCTTTATTATAAGAAACTCTACCGTGATAACACTTAAAGAAGAGAAGATGTCTAATACTACTTAAGACAAATAAAAGAAAAGATTTGAAAACAAAGAAAAAAATACTAAAGAAAATGTCAATTTAGAAGAGAATAATTCATAACTCCTAATATGCTTAAGTCTTATCAATAGGAAGAGATAATCTATTCTTAATGAAGAAAAAACAAAGATCTGATTTTGTAAGTATACTCTTGTCAATTTGTCAAGGATAAGAACTCGATGAAAGCAAATAAATAAGTGAGATTCTCTCAAAAAAATCTGACAAAATAGAAATAGAAAAATATATATATTAAAAAAGAAATTGGAATGGCTATTGCCAAAAAACAAAGAAACTAGATACTCTTAAAACTATACTAGAAGCAAAAAAAAGAATTAACAAGAGCAAAGAATGCTTCACTCTTGCCTCTCTATATACTATCTATATAAGATCTAGATAGTATGATATTCTATAGGACCTCCAAAAACATGTTGACTTTGCATGATATATATATATATATATATATATATATATATATATATATCTTAATTTTCAAAGCAAGTTTTCTATATGGATGCCACATAGTTAGCTTATTCTGCAAGCTATCAACACATGTGGCACGTGGTTAGCTTATTGAGCAAGTTTTTAATCTATTAATCAACTACAAATATATATAAAGTCAAAACAACATCTACAAAGCTTCTAAGAAGCTTTTATAGAAGATATTATGAAATTAATCTATTTTTACTTACTTCTATCTATTCATATTATCTAGATAACAATTACAATAGATATATATTCATAACAGCTAAGACTATTTCAAATCTAACATTCTATCAAAATCAAAACAATTAATAGGTGGCTTCATTACAACCATTGTTATTATACAAAATTAATTGACCATCTAACTAGCTACCAAGATAATGGTGCATTAAAGTTATAGCCACATATTATTAATTTTGATAGAAGTTTCTAAGTTCTAAGCCACTTTGTTATCTGTCCAAATTAACCACACCCACATGTGATAGTGTTACTCATCCAAAGAGCATTTACTTGTCTATAGATAATACTTGTTGAAGTATCTCAATAGCACAATATTAGAAGATGAATAAGCAAAGAGATAAGATGCTATTATGAGGTTGCCAAAATTAATAAAGACCCAATAAGATAAAACAATGTTTAAGGATTGAAAAAAGTACAATGAGGTAGTAAAAAATTAACACAATATTTAGTGGATTCTGAGTAGTAGTACCACAAGTTAAATAGTGTTGAGTTGGAAGTTGTGTAATTTGATTGAATAATAGACTATGTCTTGTTTCTTTTTCAATCATTATGTATGTCATATCTTGTATGATAAGGTCCTATCATGGTCCTATCATGTGCTTGCCAATAACTTTGAAAGATCAAGTAACATACTTATAAAGTCACTTTCTACAATCTATAGTATGATTATGAAAGATGTCATGATTTATGCTATTTCTACTATAGTTCTATATATTGAATAATCAAATTCATTTATGAATACATATTTGTGGTTTTCCATATGATTAATTTTAGTATTAATTCTAACCTTGGTTTTGAATATTAGTCAAATTTTTTGGAATCAACAACTCTCTTAACAACCAAAAAACTTAAATTGCAAATGAACCTACAAAACTTAACATATGTTTTTGGTGATCTATTACCAACGTAGAAACATTCAACCAGACATTTTGCTATTCAATTGCAAATGAACCTAGAATTGCTTAAAGCAGACACAATGCAAATTAGTAAATACATGTGACCCTCTAAGGAAATCACACAAAAACATGCATATTTTATTGAACATCAATTATATATATATATGTATATATATATATCCAGATTTTGCCGACCTCGAATCCCCACAAATACCAGCGCATCCCCCTCTAGTACCTCAACTCACATGGTCAAATCGTCGACAATCCATAATCTCACCGGCAGCGACTTAGTTCTCTCACAGCCTTCACAATTGGCAGCGAGTGGAAGCCCTATTTTTGACGACTGGACCAGAACCATCCGCCCTGGATACAATTGCACTAAATTCAGCGAGGCTCCCTGTGTCTAGATTTGGCATCGCCCGCGATGAAAATGGGGGCAGCGGGGGGAGTCGGGAGCTCGCGTGTTCCTCTTGCAGCAGGGCCTGCACTCGCCCCATTTCGAGGTTTAGGGTTCGCCTGGTTTTGGTCCGCTATCCAAAGCTAATGAATTGTAGTCCGAAATCCTGAAACAGATCTCCAGTCCTGGCCAGAAAGTGTCGCAGCTGCAGCTCTGCTCCTCCTTCGGCAGCTTCGATGAGTCTTCGAAGCTCCCTCCCTTCCTCGTCCCCCGCCATAGCCACGCAGCTTTGCTTCCTCGTCTTCGTCTTCTTCCCCCCGAAACCCTATTTTTTGTTCCTATTCTGTCTTTAGTTCTGCACCCTCGTCCGACGTGGACTACAAATTTTGTTGTTGTTGTTGCGCTTTTCGTATGACATACTAAACTTTCATAAAAAATCTGATTCAATATAATTATTTATTTTAAAATTGTTTCATGAATGCTATAGGAATTTGTGATTTCTTAGTTGGGATTGATGACGTCATCTCATGTTTCTATGTTTGGGTTTTCTTCTCTTTAGGGTCTATGTTGTTTGTTCACATTTAGTCAGCTTATGGTGTTGTAGTGAGCTTCATATGATTACTTTGATTATATATATATATATGTATGTTTATTGCTTATAGCACCACAATTTTTGCTATTGCCACCCATTCAACATATTATTTTTAGTTTTAATGTCGATATATATATATATATTTATTTATTTATTTATTTAATTCTATTTTTTTCAATCAATTTTTTTGTTCAATTACATGGTTTGAAAGATATTGAAAAAAAGAAAATTTGATTGGTTTGAAAAGTATTGAACAAAAGATGACATGAGGTAGATGGACATTGTGGTGACAATCGCAAATTCTTTGGTGGCATTAGCAATCCCCTATTTCTCTCTTCCATATATATACACCTTTTTTTTGTTTTTTTTGTTTTTTTAGGAAATCACATATTTCTACAAGATGCATTCATTCGTGAATGAGTTGGAATCTCATGGCATTTTTCAGAGGTGGATGGTTTCGTGAAATTCAGATCTCATCAAAATGATCTGTCAAGTCGTCCAATCAAGTCCCATTAAAAGGGTCCAATCAAGTCCTTGCATGGAAGTGAAGCCTGAGTTGTCGTCAAACCCAAGTATTGTTTTCTGACAGAACTATAAAATATCACAAGTTCGACAAAAAAAAGTGATCAATTTTGAGACAATAATAATACGATTCCCAACAATTTGCAAAATTTGTGTGATGATTGAGAACATGAAGTCCACAAAGCCATTGATTTAATGTGTTTGTTCATTAAATGACCGTATTACTTATCAAAAAGTGATGTGAGATTCAAGTGTGAAATATTACAATCACACAAAATTACGGAATGAAAAAAGAAAAAAAACATTGGAAATAAGAAGAGAATACATTTGTGACACGTGTGCTTTGATCAGTTTTCCATAGATTCAAGCAAAATTGATGCACCTCCAAAAACACAAACAAACAAACAAATAAAGAAAGATTTGCAAAATTTCAAACTCCATTTTAAGTGAAAAAGAAACGACAATAGCATCCTAATTGTTGAGTTGAAACATCACTAGGAGACCAGAGGTTGATAGTGCCCGAGGTTTCATGGTGTTTTTTAAACCTGCACGTGACGCAAGGAATCCACCACTGCAAGAGCAAGCAAAGCGCGGCATGTGCGACGGAGAAAATAGAAGCGAGGAAGAAACAACGCTGACTCACTCCCTCCCCGCCCAGTTGCGGAATCAGAATATCAGGTGCTGCGCAATAGCAAGCCATGTGTGGATTCATCATCCCTCCTCACCTCAGCTCGGCAGGCTTGCAGGTGCGCGACGCCCGGGCGCCGTTCGCGGGGAGCCTCGATATTTCGAACCAGTCCACGGGCCTTTTACACTCATTGCCATGCATTTAAGTGGGTTTTGCGCACGCCAGTTTCGGAGCAGGCGTTCTGGGCCCCGAAATTGTTGCCGAATTCGGAGGTTAAGTTGCTTGGCTGTTTCTAGAAAATATGAAAACGCCGATCCGGACCCTCCTCCCTCTTCGGACCGAAGTCCCTCGCACAGGACTTCCTTCCCATACCACTGCTGTTGCATTGGTGCATTAGATGGTTTCTTAGTCTCACTTGGTCCCAGAGTTCTCCGCAGAGGCAAGCATCGGTGGATGCGGGGGTCATTTGCTGTCTCTTGCCCTCACTAAAGGAGGAGGATCTGCGGTGGGTTGTGTTGAACTTGAATACACTGGATTGTGCTGTTCATGTGGGTATGCCTGCAGCTCTGCGGGTTTGTGCGTCCGTTTCGTCTGCCGGAGCTGGGTGGGTTGCAGTTGCAGGAGCTGTCTGGGCTGGAGGTTAGGCGCATTGCAGGAATCCATGCACAGGGGTCGAAACGATAACACCTGCGTTGCTTTGTTGCACAAACAGGAGGCGCTTCAGTATGAAGTTTACGTGCGTATTGCTAGTAGTGCTAGCCGTGTTGCTAGCATTGAATCTCCGCGTAGATGGAGCACCGTTTCCCCCTCCGCAGTTTAGGCTATGCCAGAGCGCAGATAGGTGCTGTCCACCTGTGAGCCAGAAGCCCCCAGTGCCGTTTCAGTTCCAGACAGGTCTGCCGTGGAGGACCCGGATCGCAGCTCAGTTTGCGGACGCTAAGTACATTGCTAAGTACCAGAGAGCGTACCAGTTAATGAAAGCACTTCCGAATTCTGACCCGCGGTCTTTGTATGCCCAAGCTAGAATGCACTGCGCGTACTGCGGCGCAGCTTTCTACTATCCCCGCAGTGACTATTCGCTAGAGATTCATGATGGATGGTTCTTCTTTCCCTGGCATCGCATGTTTCTCTACTTCCACGAGCGGATCCTTGCGAGTCTGATCGGTGACCCGACGTTCGCCCTGCCCTTCTGGAATTGGGACAACCAGTCACAAGGTGCTACTCAAGGAAATGTCATGCCCAGGTATTACAGCGAGAGACGATGGAGTAACAAATCTAATCCTTTGTACGATCCGAATCGGAATCGTTGCGCTCTCCCGCCACACCTCATAGATTTGAATTCAGGGGGAGGGTGTTCCGGAATGCCGGACGATTACCTGCGGACGGAGAATAACCGGCTCATGTACAATCAAATGGTGTCTGGCCCAACGACGCCGAGTCTCTTCTTTGGATCGACATACAGGTTCGGATGGTCGGGAGGGATGGGGGGTGGGACGTTGGAGGGAGCTCCTCATGGCACTGTTCATATCTTCACAGGGAATCCGTACTCTCGAAATCCCTATGACGACATGGGAAACTTGAATGTAGCAGCGTTAGATCCGCTGTTTTATGCTCATCATGCCAACATCGACCGATTGTGGGAAGTCTGGAAAGGCATGGGTGGTAGGCACAAAGATATCAGTGATCCTGATTATTTGAAGTCGCAGTTTGTTTTCTACGACGAGAACAAGAGGCTGGTTTCTGTCTCCGTCGGCCAAGTCTTGAATGCGGGAAATTTGAGGTGAGAAGTGCAGTACTTATGTCGTGCCGAGAATTCGGTAATTCTCCTCTCGATTTCTCAATGTTGACAATTTCCATAACTCTCTCTTTTGCAGATATGGTTACCAAAAGGTTCCGAACCCCTGGATGAATCCAAAAGCCGGTGGTATGTCTACTGCGAGCGTCGATGGAATGGACATGAGCGGACAGAGTGTAGAGGCAACGCAATGCTCGGCTCTTGCAAACAGCGACGTACCTGCATTAATTAAGTCTAGCCCGCTTCTAAAGAAATCTGGAAACATCCTCTTTACCACCCCGTTAACGTTCCGTGTGCGTAGACTTGCCCCGACTGGCAACAGACAAGAAATCCTTGAGATTAATAACATCGAGATCGACTGGACCAAGAAGGCTAAGATTAACGCGTTCCTGTTCTACCCAGGTGCTAGCGGCTCCAGCATCGACTGCATGGAGTTCTTCGGTACCTTTGCCCACATCCCCGCATCCAACCACAAGAAGAAGCTGGGATACAGCAGGTCGTGGAGACTGGGCCTTACGACGAAGCTAGCCCAATTAGGGAAGTCCGGCTTTTCGCAAGTGGTTGTTACTCTTGTGCAAGTAGGTTCTAACCAGCATATCAAGTTCGGAGCTACCAAGATCAAGCTTGAGAAATAATTGTAACCTGTCGCCGGCGGTGGCGTGACCATCGATCAGTGCTCGGAGAAGAAAGTCTTCTTCATTCATTTACAGTTGAATTTAACTTATTCTCTACTAGTAGGCACCCATTTGAAATAAATAAATTGGTCTGGAGAGAAAAGGGTGGTTGTCTCTCCCCTCTAAAAATCATGCTCTAAGATCGTCTTGCGTCCAGTCTTAGGTAGCACTGAGATTGCAGTTACATTTCTAGAATCGGCCTAGAAGGTATATGACGGATCTAGTGATGAGCGAACACATTCTTTTTAATATCAGGGCAATTTTCACTCTATCCCAGACATGTGATTATGGGAACATGGCTTGACAGACACAACTCATTGTGTATCGTTTGCAGGAATTCATTGTGAGTATCTTGTTCGAGTGAGGATCGATGAAAGGAAGTAACTTTGTCAATATAGTATTTTAAACCGCATTGTACAAAGTTTTCTTTTTCATCTACCTTCATCAAAAATAAAGCAGAAACTTGTGAATATGTTTTCCTTGGTTGTGTAATATCTGCTGTTGTGTCTAATAACGGTGATATGGATGGAATTATTTTTTCGCAAATTACATGATCAGTCTATCCACGAGTAAATGTGTCCGCTCAGCATGTCATGTCTCACTTGGGAACCTCTTAGAGACTGCGATGAGAAAATATAAAGATCATAGGTGTGCAGCATGCACTACTCTTCAGATGTGATTTTAGCATTTCACCCCAGCGTAAAGCCAGTGTTATACCCTGAAGTCGGATTCGATAGTAGTTGATTGGACCTTGGAGTACCACACTTATAAAAGTGGAATGCAGTGCACTTTCGCTGGTGGAAACTTCAATTGAATACGACGCGCAAATTTCCAGAAAAGGGACACTTCAGGCACTTGGCTATCCGTTAAGACATGAATGTTGCCTGATACAGGAGGTATGACAGCCTGCACTGTGGATATGCTTGTCTTAATCTTCAGGACAGCCTGGTACCTCCGAATTGTGCTCTTCATGATAGCATATTGTAAACAAAATAGCTGATCTTGTCACCACTGTTGGCATCAATATACTCTGGCATCTCTTTCGTGTTCACTTACACATATCAACTTGAAGGTAGCCTTCTGGGAGTTCCTGCTCAGCAAATTCGACAAAATCAGTATTCACACCAAAGCAATGAACAACAAATCATCATAAATGTGGATGGGTATGCATCTCATCGTGGGTGCAAACACTAGTACACCAGTTGCAAATTTTAGGTGCTACAGAAGAATCAGCAAGAATTTATGCAGATGGTTGTCGACACCCAAAGATTGTAGAGAAAGTAATGATAAGGAATTCAATCACATACCCCGAGAACAAGACCCAGTTCGTCATTTGGAACGTAGCCCGAATAATCGTTATCTAACATCTCCCCTCGCCATCGCAATTTACTTGCTGCGTTCCGGACTCAGGAAATCAACCTATGGCACTGGAAAATTGATCTGGGTCGAAACCATGTCTTGTGCTAGCTACGAGATCAAACACGAACTATCAATTCACTGCAATCGAACGTGGCTCGTTTTGAGGGTAGAACATCAACTAGAAGCACAGTCGTGAGGCGTCCTTCATGCAGATCTATCAAAAAACATGGTATTTATGATAATATAAAGTATAAAATATATAAAATAAATAAATGATCTCAAAGATGCCAGGAGAAGTGACACCCAGCCCTGCAATTTCGTTGAGCACAAAACCTGGTGACATTCTTCAAGGGCAGCTGGTCTGTCTTTTTGATGAACTACAGATGCCTTCCCAACCTTGTTCTTCCATGCTGTTTAGCCCCCGTGCAAACCATGTTTCACTTGTTTGATCGGCTTGCAACTCACCATTTATTTTAAACCATATAAAATTACCGGAAGACTTTGGAAACTCACCGATCTCACAGATGCAGTTTTCTGGTTCCAATCGAATATGGCAGTGAAGACGAAACTGCTGTTGTGTGCCAAAATGAAGTTGTATAGACACTTTAAGAAGTTTAGCTTCTGGACAAGCTACAGCTGCACCCCAACTTCAGATGTGGGGACTTATTCAAACATTACTGCACATTATGATTTCTATTATTTTTGTTAGCAAGAGGACGAATCGAGGAGGGAGGCTCCAAAAACACCAGGAAGAAAGAAAGATGTAAACTGAAGCCAATATAATTAAACATGATATTAGAAGAGAATGCTTCACTAATAGTGGCATTATCTATACTGTAGTTGGAGCAAACAGAAGTGACATGTTTCTCTTCAAAATACAAAAAGAGTCAGAGAGAGAGTTTGAGGGGCTTAAATTTCTCAAGACTTCTTAAATTTACTTAGAGCATTTAATTATTGTCATTATTATTATTTCGCAAAAATAAAATGATTCTTTAAATTTTACTTTCCATTTTGAAAATTACTGTAAAAATTCATAAATGTGAGTTTTTATCTATTCAGTTATTTTTAAATATCTAAAATAATAACATGAATCTTGTGAAAATAAAATTAGTCTAAAGAAATAAAAAAAGATTAAAAGTGGTATATTTTAAGGAAAAGATACACAAATGGATGTCACCAAATACATTACACTTGAACACCTTGAATTAATTTTGGAATGAAAAACACATATCTAAAAAAACTATAAATGTTGTCAATTTTATTTCTATATAATTAAACTAAAATAAGAGCCATGTTGAAGTTTCTTAAGAATTGTAAGAATTGGGTGTAAGTATCAAAGTTGTATAAAGGCCTCCATAATGTCTTTCGAGTTATTAAAAAAAATTAAGATTAATTATTTTTTAGTCACATGATGCAACTAAAGACATGTATAGATCCAATTTGCAATAAATAAATAAATAAATAAAGGTTTGTTCATGCTCCTTCTGAAAGATATTATCTAATTACTTTGTTTCTATTTATTTCTATTTTTCTAAGTCATAGACATCTATAGCATTAATAAAAAGTTTGATTTATTTATTTATTTTATAATATATATATATATATATATATATATATATTGTTTATAATTTGATTCATTACATTTTTATTTTAATTATTTATTTTTTATATTTTACCTAAACTTAAAGTATTTTCCACCATATACATACTACTTTTAAATTTGACAAAAACACTTCTGCCTTGTAAACTTACTATGCTTCTATTTGACTAGTTATCAATCTTTGTATCCTTAAAATTTGTAATTCAATAAAATGCTGGTACTAATCCATTTCTTCTAATAATTAATATTTTCTAATTTTTAAATTTATTAAATATTTATTTAAAATTATAAATCATTATATGTTTAGTATTTATGTTATTAATGTTTCATTTGTAAATAATTAATCACTTAGAGTTTTATTGATAAATTTAATTTTTTACATTAATATATTTTTACTTCTATTTATTTTTATTTTATAATTTATTATGTAATTTAGATAAATTTATTATATTCTTATTTTTACATATAATTTATTAATTAAAAGTAATCTTTAAATAATGTAAAATAGTAATATTTCTAATAATTATAAAAATTAAATAAAAAAACCTCTATAACTGAACCATAATCACCTAATAATGATTGTTTGTTAGATAAAATAATAACTTCAAAATGATGTGTAACATTTTTTTTTTTTGTTTCTATGTTCTAATGAGTAATTAATAATTAGAAAAAAAAATAATAAAAAATGAACAGTATATAGATTTATAGATGATTGGTTTTTACGAGTTTTAAAATATATATATATATATATATATATATATATATATATATATGTTACTAAAGATATTAGTAACTCTAGTATTATTAGAAATATTAAAGTAAATAACAAAAACATAAAATTATCATATTTTAATCTATATTTTATTTATAGAATGAATAATTATATAATGTTTGGCCTCCTAAAAAGTCTAATATTGATATAATTATTTTCTAGATATTAATAATTGAGTTGATTCTAAAATTATTTTAAAAATTAACAATCACTAGAAAAAATCATTGATCTATATTTTTAATTTTTTATCAGATTAATCTTTTACATTTGATATTTAGGACATTATAAATGTATTAATTAGACCATTAGTGTTTGTTAAAAAATTAAAAGAATAAATTTAAAATTATCAACATCTTCTTTGTAAATTGCTAGTTGTTAAAAAAAACAAAAACAAAAACAAACAAACATTCAACATGAATTACTTTTTATCTTCAAATAAAGATACTAAAAACAAAATTTTAAAATTTTTTCGTGCCAAGTAATTACTTTCTTGCAATAATATTTTTACTTATTTTTATCTATTGTTCAATTTTTAATTTAAATAATTAAATTATTATATGGGTAGAATTTAAAATATATCTATTTTATAACAATACTTTCTAGTATATATCAAAATATATTTCACAGACCATATTAGATGCATGTTAATAATTTGACATAAGTCTAAAATGCAATAAAAGTAAACAAATGTTGGTTCCATCAAACAAATCCCCACAGGTACATATCAAATTTTTGCAGATAATAAGATAAAAACTTGCAAGACATCATTTTATCTTGATTAATATTCAATACATTATATTTTAAACAAAATATACGTAAGGAGAAACAAATGTGGAATTTACATACAGGGGAACAAATGCAAAAATAATTACACATAAAGGAAGGATTCGAAAATAATTACCAAGAGAGGAACATTCAAGTGATCCACAGGCAGATTGCCACGATGTTGGAAGGCTTGTTGTTTTTGAAATGGTATGGTGCAGATACCTTCTGAGAATACGCGTTGAGCACTGCCCATGCTTCTTCTGCCGTCGAGACAGCAACACCAACATGAACGTCCATTTGAAAGATAACGTGTTATTTGTAGAACGTTTAGACTGATTTCTTCACACGGGTCAAGCTTGCACCTGCCTCAAAACTTGCTTGAAGTGGTGAGATGAAACATGGTAGAGAAGATCGAGCATAGAAGCGTAGAGAGGTGTGGAGAAGCGTGGCAGACAAGCTGAAATGGTGAAGTGTGGCGAGAGAAGCGCCTGCAAAACACTGCAGAGAAGCACGGCCGAGAAGTGATTATATACATACATATACATATAATTTATTTTGGAGAATTTACATTTAGGAGGACAAATGCAAAAGTAATTACAAATAATATATATATATATATATATATATATATGTGTGTGTGTGTATATGTGTATGTATGTATGTATATGTATGTATGTATGTATATATATATATACACATTCTAAACCATAAATATTATATGAATTTTTTGATACCAAGTCACAAGTGATAAAAATAAATATTAAGTTGCTTCTAAGAACATTAACTATTTCATACAAGCACAACAATAGATACAAATATATAAAAAAGTAGACTTTTGGACATTGTGAAAAATTCACAAAATCTTTTGTTTATAGTCATTGGTAGTGCCACCACTTTTTTTGCTACTACCACCACAACTTGCTATCAAAGACATACATATTTACTCTAATGTTTATCTATATGATTAAATATAAGT